CTGGCTTTTAGCTTATTATGTATGTAGAATAATTTTTTTAAGTATCATGTTAAGGAAGTATCCTTTTACTTCTATTTTATAAATATATCCTCCTGTAAAATAAATAAATAATTTAAATTTTTAAAAAATCCTTCTAAAAGTCTCACATTCTGATTTAAGAAAAATTAGCAGTTCTATGGAGCTGATTATATTTTTTCTTGAATATGACAAATTATATTAGTGGATTTTCTTAAAGTGAAACATCTTTGTGATAGAAAAAAATGTTTCAATTGTTCTCTGATTACAGGTAGTCCCTAATGTACAGTAGTTTGACTTATATTTTCAACTTTACAATGGAGAGAAAGTGAAGAAAATGTAGATACCTCAAATTTTTAATCTTTTCTCATGTGAGCTATATGTAGTAGAATATTCTCTGGTGATGCTGGGCAGTGGCAGCAAGCCATAGCTCCCAGTCAGCCAGGTGATCACAAAGGTAAACAACCAAAAAACTCTTACAACTATTCTGTACCCACTCAGCCATTCTGTTTTTCATTTTCACTACAGTATTCAATAAATCACATGTGATATTCAACACTTTATTATAAAATAGGCTTTGTGTTAGATGATCTTCCACAACTATAAGCCAATGTAAGTGTTCTGAACATATTTAAGGTAGGCTAAATTAAGCTACGATGTTTGGTAGGTTAGATGTGCAAGCTAAGTCCCTTCAGTCATGTCTGAGTCTTTGCCCCACTGGCTCCTCTGTCCGTGGGATTCTCCAGGCAAGAATACTGGAGTGGAAAAAAAAATACTGGAGTGGAATTTGGAACTATAGGTAAATTCCTCCCTGGAGGAGGGAATTTGGCTATAGTTTGCTTCAAAATATTGCTCCTTTTTTCCACAAAGGGTTGGGGTCTCCATGATGCTTGAAGGAATACTTTATCCCCAAGGTTTCAGGTACTTGTTGAGTAATTTTAGAGGTAAAGGCAGGTCCAGTATCACTTTGTATAGATTGAGATAATCTGAAATGTGGGATTATCTACTAAAGCAAGTTTTTTGTTACCTGCGAGACCTGTTCTGTGTGGGAAAAGTTTCTATTCATCCAGCGAATGTGTCTACCATTACTAATAAATATTTGTATCTTCTGGACTTGGGCATCTTATTAAAATTAATTTGCCAACCCTCCTCCACGTTGCTTCCTCAGTGTTGAATGGGTCTAACTAGTTGAGGAGGGGGTGACGCTGTTCTAGAATTATTTTGTAAACATGTGTCACATGATTTAGTACCCTGAACCATCACCATTTTTATTCCTTTGCTTACAAACAAACTTTGTAATAAATTCCAAAGGGCTTTCCAAAAAGCCTTGCATCTATAGTGGGTGGTTTCACATAAAGTCTTGATTACTTTCCATTGCTGAACTTGTGGAAACATAAGGTTAGATGTATTAAATATTATTAAATATATTTTCTTTTTTAATTTTTATTTCATTTTATTTATTAAATATATTTTCAATTTATAATATTTTCAAATTATGATGGGTTTAACAGATGTAAGTCAGGAAGGTCTGTAGTCTATAATTCTTTGCAATTCCAACTAAAATCCCAACGGGTTTTTTTTCCTTAGATAGGAAATAAACTGATTTTAAAATTCAAAGAGAAGCACACAGGTCCCAAAGGAGCTGAGAAATTTCTTAAAAACTAGAACACTATTTGTGCAGATCCCTGTCAATCAAACAGGGTTATTATAAAGTTAAAGTAATTAAAACAATGGAAACACATACACACACAGAGAGTACAGTACTGGTATAGATGTAGACAAATAGATTAAAGACAGAATAAAAAGCCTAGAAATGGGCTTCCCTGGTGGCTCAGTGGTAAAGAATCCACCTGCCAACAGAGGGGACATGTGTTTGATCCCTGGTCCAGGGAAGATCCTACATGCTAGGGAGCAACTAAGTCTATGCACTGAGCCAACATACCACAACAACTGAAGCCTGCATGCCCCAGAGCTCAGCAATAAGAGGAGCCACTGCAATGAGAAGCCCCAGTACTGCAGCGAAGAGTAGCCCCCGCTTGCTATACAACTAAGAAGCCTGAGCACAGCAATGAAGGCCCAGCGCAGCCATAATAAATAAATAAACCTTTAAAAAATAAATAGCCCAGAAATGATTAAGCACGTATATGATAAAAGTGGCATCACAAAGGAAGTATTTAACAAACTGTATTGGAACAACTGGTCTCCTACATGTAAAAATAATTTTACTGATATAATTAGCAGCCAATTCCTAACTTGGATCAATTACAAAATTAAATTCCAGGTGGATCAAAGACTAAATATGAAAAACAAAGGTTTGAAAAGAAACTATCTCTACATTGTAATATTAAGAAAGATATCTTAGAAAAGACAACATTGGCAACTCATGACAGAAGATTTCATTAATGTGGCACAGGTCATTTCAAAGAGGGCTTATAAGACCAAAACGGGGAGCTCTTAATGCTGTGACCAAAGATAGAAGTTCTCCATAGAATGTAACAGTCACTCAACAGTGCTGTTTTCCTAAGGAGATAATAAGATTTAACCACTCATATACAGGACTGGTGATATAGGGAAGTAAAAATAAATGTCCCCCAAGTTTAACAACAATAAAAATTAATGTTGCATATTAACTTTGATTGAATTCTTATTGTATGCCATACTTGTCATAGGGTAGATATAACTATTTAAATTTAAAGTTTATATACAACAAAAGATACATGATAATATGTAACTGATAAATTAGAAGATACCCACATAAATCCTAATGCTGAAGCAGGCATTCTTAAAATTCCTTAATTTCAAGTAGAAAAAGGACTAACAACATATAATGGACAAATAATATGAACAGTCAATTGACAAAATTTACATTTCTTCACTCAGGAGTAGATTTCCATTTGTACAGTATCATAAGAGTGTGGTCCTAGAGTCAGGCTGAGTGGGTTTGAATCCTGTCTTTATTATACACTTGATGCATGAAGTTATAAAAGTTTCTTAATCTCTGTGCTTCATTTCCTTTTTCTGTAAAAATTAAAATAATATCAACTTCACAAGCTTCTGGTAATGATAACAGGAAATAAGCTATGTAAAGTTAATAACACAAAATAACTAGTAAATAATAGGTACTCAATAAAGCTATTATACTTATTGCTGTAGAAGATTTTTTTACCTGCTAAGTAGTCTATTCAAATATAAATAAAAGCTGCCATGGAATATAATTTTAACCATATTCTAGAATGAATTTAGGTCTGCATGCCCAGAAATATAGGCAGTCCATTTCTATTTGATAATCCAGACCAAAACGTCTGACTCTGGTATCTGAGAGGAACTACATGAATTTTTTATTATTTATTTATTTATTTATTTTTTACATGAATTTTTTAAAAGTTTAGAGTATTCTATAAGTAGATCACAATTCGTTACCTCCAGGTTTTTACTTTCTAAAGAAAATTCACAATGAACTATTTGGAATCCTCTAAAGGATAATCATTACCCATGAATTCAAAATACACCTAAAAAAAAATGTACCTACAAATCTGACAGTGTTTCTTTGTGACATTTTTATATTTTAAAATATTTACTGGCCACTTGCAGTTTTTCCAACTGCTTGCTCATGTTCTTCACCCAATTATCTATATTCTTAATTACTGATTTTTAAGAATTATTAGTTTTTTTTGTTTTTTTTTTGGCCACATGTTGAGGCATATGGGACCTCAGTACCCCAACCAGGGACTGAACCTACACCTGCCACAGTGAAAGGTGGAGTCTTAACTACTGGACCACCTGGAAAGTTCCAATATACTTCTATATTATAAAAACTGTTTACAGTTTTGCCTTATTACAGTGTTTATGGCAGGTTGATTGAAGAGAAGGATTAATTTTGTGAACATAAATAAGGCATCTTGTCTTTTATCAGTTTTATATGTTAAACTAAAAAAGTAGGCCAATGAATAAAAGAAAGTTATATAGCTAATAATTATTAACAATATTTATCATTTATGGAGCACTTATTGTGTGCATTTAGCCCTCCCAATATTCCTATGGGATAGGTACTATTATTATCTCCATTTACAGATGACATAACTAAGGCCAAAGAGATTAAGAAACTTGCCCATAATCATGCACTTAGTAAGTCATTCAGCCAAGATTTGAACCCAAGTCTGTCTAGGCCCAGAAAAATCACTCTGCCAAAAGGAGAAATAACTGGATGAGCCACATGATCATACGGTCAATAGAAGTATGTATGTGTGTTTCAAGATGGAAAAGATATGAGCTGAGAAAAAAAGAGCCAGTGAAGTGGAAAATATTTAAAATATAAGAGCATGAGGGATTCCAAAGAGTTGGAAACAAAAAGAATCAATAGCAGAGGAAAATGAGTCATTTTGTAAAAATATGAAGAATACTGTTATCTTTTGAGGCCATAAAAAAAAAAACATGAAGAGCTATGGATATCAGAACTACAAAAAATTTTGTCATAGAATATTAGTATATATTTTAGCTCAACTTTAAAAATCTCAGCTGAAGAAAATATTAGATCATTTAAAAGTAGTCAAATTACTCTTCCATATACTTCTAATTTTTAATCTATGAACAAGAAGAACTTTTAATAAACTGAGCTTAAAATCATTAGAATTATGGAATTGTTTTAGATTTCTTTTTGATCTGGGTGTCAATGAAAAGTTTTTTTCTTTCCTGAATTATAAGCTTTTTTCCTCAAAAACAGTGTAAACTATCGGATGAACTTTATGTTTCAGTTTGCTTTTGCTTCTTCAGATCATATTCAAATTTGAACTCAAGTTTTATAACCCTGTATGGACCTGTTTATGCATAGCCATATCTCACATCTCCCCTGGTTCTGATCTTCTAGCTGTGTTTTTCCTCACCATGATTTTTGACTCATTTTTTTCCAACTTACTGGTAGGTTAAGGTAACTCATTGCAACTGCGTTGTAAAATAATACAGGAAACAAATACATGCTTAAAACATACAAGAGAACTGGCCATATCCTCTTCTTCCTGGAAAAGGGTAGAGTCTGGAGAATGCCAAGCTGAGGAAAAAAAAATAAAAACCTATTTACTTTAAAGCTCCAGATAAAGGACTACAGAAATCTTCAACACCAGCTACAAGATTACCTGTAATGGCCCTCAGATCTTTAAGAAATATTAACCACCACCAGGCTACAGACACACTGAAATGTACACAGATGGCTTATAATTTAATCCTATAGAATTCTACGGGAATTTCTAGAGGGCTAAGTCTAGGGTGCCCAATGAATCTATTTCCATAGGATCCTGATATAAGGGTTCTATTCCTAATAGGAGACATATTAAGTACATAATAATAAATACTACAGAGATTTAAGGATTAAATTATTTATGAAGTACTATAAAGAATTTGGAAAGACTTTAATCATAGACAGGTTATAGGCACTGAGGAATATTCATATGATGAAATGAAATACAGTTATAACTCTAAAGATATTTTAAAATATCATTTTATTATTTTAAAATAACATTTTTTTACCCTAAAAAATTCAGGTCCTTCAGGTTAGAAATCAAAGACTGAACACTTGTATTTATCTCTGTTCTCTCTGAAACACAAGCAAAATGAAAGAAACAAAAGAAGAAAATCCCACAAGGACAAAGAATATAGAAGACTTTGACAGATAAGAGATATCAACACTTCCTCTTCCGGTAAGCAGCCTCAGGTGACCTCTAAAAATGGTGGGCTATTCACTCACCCAGAAAACCCCACAAAATCATGCAAATCAAGAGGTTCAAATCTTTGTGTTCACTTAAAGAACACTCGCGAAACTGCCCAGGCCATAAAGGATATGCATATCAGAAAAGCCACCAAGTATCTGAAGGGTGTCACTTTAAAGAAGCAAATGTGTGCCATTCCGTCGTTACAAAGGTGTAGTTGGTAGGTGTGCACGGGCCAAACAGTGGGGCTGGACGCAGGGTCGGTGGCCCAAAAAGAGTGAATTTTTACTGCACATGCTCAAAAATGCAGAGAATAATGCTGAACTTAAGGGGTTAGATGTAGATTCTCTGGTCATCGAGCACATCCAGGTGAACAAAGCCCCCAAGATGCAGCGCAGGACTTACAGAGCTCATGGTTGGATCAACCCATACATGAGCTCTCCCTGCCACATTGAGATGATCCGTACTGAAAAAGAATGGATTTTTCCTAAACCAGAAGACAACGTTGCACAGAAGAAAAAGATATCCCAGAAGAAACTGAAGAAACACAAACTTATGGCCCGGGAATAAATGCCTCAAAAAATAAATGCAAATAAAAGTTAAAAAAAAAAGAGAGAGAGAGATGTCAACAAAATTTTGAAAGCTAGAGAGCAGACAAATGACTGGTTTCTAACTTAGAGAAGGGTGAATCTTAATTGAGCTTCAGGTTGGGGAAACCATGGCAGAACACTTCAAAGGCTCAGGAATAGAGGCACTAGTTACTTCTGCAAGCAGGAGATTGGGGTGGGGCTGAAAAACAAGGAACTAAATATAAGGTGGGCTTGAAGCAATGTAGAGAAAATAAGGGAATTACGTGAAAGTTGTCAGATTGAAAGATGAGGTACTCCCCTCAACTTTTTTCCTTTGTTTGCCTCCCAGCATTCCAGCTTATACTCCTCAATCTGTCTAGGACTTCTTGCTGGGAAAATTGACCACCTCAAAAGAAAATGCATATAGATCCTGACACTGGTCAACTTTCAACCTCCAACAAAACACCATATTAGAAAGAAGGGAAAGAAGAGTGGGTGGGAGTCAGGATGGGGAGAGGGTGATGAGGAAGGGGTTAGGCAGAAAACAGAGATAAATCCTTACCTCCACTGTCAAAAGTCAATAGGAAATATCTAAAACAGAAATCAAACATTAGCAGTATGAGGATGTTATTCAGGAAAGCAGAGCTGAATACCAGAATATCCAGAAAAAAAATGTCCCAAGTAGTTGCTGATGGCTAGTGGGAAGAGGGTATGGGAAGGAATGGAATAGGACACTTTTGTTTATATAAAGTTATATATTTAACAGCACTTTAAAAAAATCTAAATGTATTTAAGAAAAATAGAAATTACATGAAAAATTTATTTAAAAAGCACTTGTCAAGTGAATAAAAAACATTGACAAAGGGACTTCCCTGGTGGTCAAGTGGCTAAGACTCCATGGTCCCAAAGCAGGGGGCCCAGGATTGATCCCTGGTCACAGAACTAGATCCCAAATGCCTCAACTAAGACCTGGTACAGCAAAATTATTAAAAAAAAAACAAACAAAACACAACAACAGTCAATAACTTGTGTAATTTCTTGGTAGGAGTACTGAACTTCTCTTTTTACATCCTTTCTCCTAAACTCTGCCCATCTCTGAGCCACCTCACCTGTCCTTTCCATCATCCGAGTCAAACGCTTCATTGTCACACTGCTACTGTTGATCTCTGAAGGTTAAGATGTCCTTCAGTCCTTCCACAATCCATACAGAGGGGTTAAGATAGGGTGTAGGTCTAGCAATTCCAGGGTCCACTCTATCTCTGGACTCCCCAGCTGGTGGGGAAGGTCCCAGATCAGGAGGTCTCCTTCCATAACAGATACCTGCTCTTCATGCTTCTTTCTCCTTACATCACAGATCTGTCTTATCTTTGTGGAGCCAGGACCTGTGGGTTTATGATATAAATCCAATTTACCTGATGTCTTCTCACTGCATCCCTATGGGAACCAGCCTTCAAGGTGCCTCCAGGGATCACTATCTTCTGGTATTCATGTTTCTCATACACCCCTGCCATACTGAATAGAGTTGACCTGTCTAACCAATAGGATATTGCAGAATGACAATGTGTGACTTCCAAGGTGAGGTCATAAAAGACACTGTTGTTTCTGTCTTGCACATTTTCGGATCATGTACTTTGAAAGAAGCCAGCTACCATAACAGGAAGATATTCAACCAACCCTAGGGAGAGGCTTGTGCCAGCAACCAACACCAATTTGCCAGCCATCTTGGAAGCAAATCCTCCAATCCTCATTAGCCTTCTGATGACTGCAGCTCTGCCAACAACTGACTGCAACTTCTTGAAATATCTGAGTCTGAATACCCTCCCCACTTCCCACAAAAGCTGAGATAATGTGTTTATTGTTGTTTAAGCCACTAAATTTTGAGCTACCTTATTACACAGTAATAGATAATTAATATAGTCCCAAACAACTGACTTCCTTGCTTCTAATTCACAGTCCCTGGAGTCACTGACCAGAGATACTGAGATAGCAGGAGTTTGGAAGACAACTCAGACTCAGCAACTCAGGTTGAACCAATAGAAACACCAAGAGTCTAGAAACAAAGGGAATAAAAATAGTCATGTTCACATAATATCTCCTTCTCAAATATCTTTTGTGAGCATAAGGGTATAGGCCTAATGCAGTGACAGATAGAAAGCTGAATCAAAAAACATTCAGATTTTCAGCAACCCCAAACTTGGAGTGAAAGAGAGCTGCATTAAAAGTCCAGCTATTCCATTTCTTATCTATCTTGACAACTGGGGTAAATAAGAGTTGCAATTTAGAATTCCTATACTCATTTGAAATGAGAACTATATTCATGTCATAGTGACACTGTCACATGACATTAATTTATCATCTATGGTAAAAAAAATCATACACAAAAGAGGAAACTAATCCTTGTTATGTATGACAGAAAAGAAATAAAAACAGAAAACATTCCATTATAATAAATTTTGAGAAGCATTATGCCTGGGATATACTCCTAATATCCCTCACACCATTTCTATGTTTTTCCCAAGACCATTATCACTAACAAATTATATAATTTATCATACATGTTGTCCATCCCCTCATATAAAATACATGAAAACAGGGATTTATTTTTGTCTGTTTTGCTCCTGTTAGTAGGTGCTCAGAAAATATGTTGATAAACTGGTATAGCCACTAGGGAAAACAGTATGGCAGTCACAAAATTAAGAACAGAAGTAATATACAATCCATAAATTCCACTTGTGGATATATATCCAAAAGAACTGAAAGCAGGCACTTGAACAGGTATTTGTACACTCATGCTTGTAGCAGCATTATTTGCAAAAGTCAAAAGATAGAAACAATCCAACTGTTCATTAACAGATGAATGGATAAACAAAATGTGGTATGTACAATGAAATATTGTTCAGCCTTAAAAAGGATGGAAATTCTGACACATGCTTTAACATGGATGAACCTTAAGGAGATGCTAAGTTAAAATAGTCACAAATGGACAAATACTGTATGATCTTGTATACAGAGTTACATAATGAGGTAACATCAAATTCACAGAGACAGAAAGTAGAATTGTGGTTGCCTGGAACTGGGGGATTGTTAAGAACAGGGACTTATTATTTAATAGGTACAGAGTTTCTGTTTCACAAGATAAAAAGAGTTCTATGGATGGACAGTGGTGATGGTGGCATAGCAATGTGGATATAATGCCACTGAACTTGAAAGTGGTTTCAAAAAGACTTGAAACTGGTTAAGACAGAAAATTTTTGTAGGGTTTTTTTTGTTGTTGTTGTTTTTGCCTTTACTGAGGTATAACTGATTGACAAAAAACTGCACAAGTTTAACGTATATATCCTGATGAGTCTGGACATATGTATCTGTGATACCAATACCATGACCAAGGTACTAAACATATCCATCACCTCCAAAAATTTCCTTGTTTTAGTTTTTTCAGTAAGAACACTGAACATGAGATCTACTCTCAATATATTTTAAAGTGCATAATACCATTTTTTAAATATAGGTACTATATTGTACAGGTCTCCAAAATTTATTCATCTTACATAACAGAAACTTTGCACTCACTGGAAAACAATTCGCCATTTCCCTCTCTCCCAGCCCCTTGCAACAACTATTCTATTCTGTTTCTTTGAGTCTGATTATTTTTGATAGCTCATATGAAAGAATTTTATTTTTGATAGCTCATATAAAAGAACTGTGTAAAGAAAAAAAAAGAACTGTGTAGTATTTGTCTTGCAACTGGCTTCTTTACTTATTTCACAATGTCCTAAAGATTCATCCATGTTGTCACAAATGGCATGATTTACTTCTTTCTTAAGGCTGAGTAACATTCCAATGCATTTATATGCCACGTTTTCTTTATCCATTCATCTGTTAATAGAAAGATGTTTCCATATCTTGGCTATTTCAATAATGCTGCAATGAACATGGGAGTAAGGATATCATGACAGCAAAATTTATGTCATTTGTTATGTTCTCTCTACTTTCCCATAATTTTAAATACACACACATACACACAGAGTGGACCCTTGAACAACATGGGTTTGAACTGCATGAGTCCACTGATACACAGATTTGCTCTCAATCAATACAAACACAATCTGAGGTTCGTTGAATCTGCAGTTGCAGAATCTAGGATACACAGAGCCAAGTGTAAAGTTCTACTTGGATTTTTGACTGCAAAAGAAGGGGAGGGGATTCACATCCCCATACTGTTCAAAGGTCAACTGTATATCATGGGCAAATGAATTACTACTAATTTCAGGTAATTAAAATTAGAGGAAAGCAATATATCAGATAAGAAAAACATAAAATGGGTGGATCGTTTGGAGTTCAAGTGTTCTAAAATCTTATTTAGTTTGGGTTTTGATAAACACGCATGTTAAAAATTCAAGGATAGGAAACAAAAGCAGTGGAGAGAGAAAAGGGGATAAGGTAAACCTGCACAATAAAAAAGATGGCATAATAGAAAATAAAGCAAATTTTTATCAGCAACCACAATAAATGTAAATGAATTAAACTCACCTATTAAAATAAACAGGATAAAAGGGGGGGAAAGCCCAGCAATATGCTCTTTATAAGAGACAGACCTGAAGTATAAAGACATAAAGGGAAGGGGTTGTAAAATGAAATTCCTGGAAAATACAGTAACAAAACCCGAAAAACAATATTAACAGACAAAAGAGAACCGTGGACTAAGACATTCACCAGGATAAAGAGACATGTTTCCTAATGATGCAGATTGAAATCTTAGTCCCAATTCTTCACTCCCCTCTAACAGGATTAGACATTCACACTTTTTGCCATTTAATTTTGCCTTGCCCTCTGACTGTGGGTGTAATTAATGTTAAGCTCAGGCATCTGTAACATTAGTATACTTGGGAGCAGAGGTTTTTATGATTTCTTGTACTCTGGTGATCCACCAAGAGAAGAATACGTCCTGGTGACCATTGTCCTTTTTTTCCTGAGTTGCATAAAGAACACCTGTGGAGCAGGTCTGAATGGATTCTGCAGCCCAGCCCTCCAGGCAAGCCCAGCCTACAAAACCTGAACAGAGATTCTGCAAACCTGTGAATAAGAGAATAAATGCTTGCTGTTGCATGCCACCGAGTTTAAAAGTGGTTTGTTAGGCAGCATTACTATGATCACAATAACTAATACAAATAATAAAAGAAGCCACAGGAAGATGAAATAATAAATCTGAAAAAGATCACCAAGGGAAACTGGAAAGTAACAGAACAGGGCTAAGTATGGCTAGGGGCGGGGTGCAAAGAGGGCTGGGAAGCAGACTAAGAAAGAGTGACCAATGGGGAGGAAAGACCACGTGAAACCAGATACAGAAATTTCTTTCAAGGCGACACAGAAGTCAACTGAGGTAAGACAAGAAGCACTACACATCACAATCACAAACACTTCATCGCAATCACACACACTATAGATCTATCTAATAATCACATGGACAACACCGCACGTTATCATAAATCACAATCACAAACATCACATGACACAAACATCCCATCACAATTACTCCATCACACCCACATAACCACACCCCTCATCATTCTCATACCATCACAATCTCTCTCTCTCTCTCTCTCTCTCTCACACACACACACACACAGCATCGCAACTCCACAGACCATCATAATCACACACACACTCTAACTCTCCACCAGTTTCTTGTTCTTAGAACTCCAACCACTCTCCAGGGGCATATTCCCACCCGGAGCAGTCCGCACTGCCACTATTCCACTCTGGGCCTCCTTAAAGGCTCCGCCCCGCCAGCCTCGCGCGCTGCTTCAGCCAAGAATGTTTCAGGCCCTCCTTAAAGTCCCGCTCCGAGGACGCGGTAGCGTCACCTGCCGGAAACACCCGAAAGCGCATCTAGCGCGCAGTGTCTGGGAGGCCGGGTGAAGGCGACACTCGGGAAGCCAGGTGCGGGTAACTCCGAACCATCCCTCTGCGCCCGCCTCCCAACGGACGTTCCACAACACAACACCTCCCAGAAGGTCCCGCGGCCGGAGTCAACTTCCGGCCAGAAAGGAGCAGGCGCTTCCTGTGTGAGGGAGGGGGTGAACCGGGTCCTATCGGGTGGCTGAGCCCCAGCGTGCTGAGATACCGCGAATTGCAACTCCGAGACCTGGCTAACCTCTGAATTGAAGGAGCAGTCGTTTCGGGTGGGTCCAGGAAGGGCGCTGAGAGGAATCGGCCTTGGGGACAACTCTGGACCACATTTCCCAGAGGGCCTAGCGGCCTGTCACTCTTCTCGCGGGAGCTCGAAATTTTCATCACGACTGGCGGGACCGTTAGATCCGTGAGGCCCGAGATCGTGGGCCCCTGGGGACCTGGTTCAACTCTGCAGGTTCGGACCCCGGGGGACCCGAAAAGTCTAAACTGAAGAGACAGGAGACCGATACAGAGCTTCTGTGCTGGCGGAATGGAGTGAGAAGGGGGGGTTATGCAACCCGTGTGCAGATATAGGATGCCTATCATTGTGGCATTGTGACTTGTGTCCCTATGGTGGTACGTGCTCGTAACACCAAGACAGTGGGGTGCCTGCAACTGTGCTAGTGTAATTATGCGTCCTGTGGTGAGTTAGCGATTGGGTCTGTGTTACCACGTTTGACTCTCTATGTGCGGATGTGCAGTGTGTCTTCTCTTAAGTATGACTGTGCAGAATGCATGGGCTTCCCAGGTGGCACTAGTGGTAAAGAACCTGCCTGCCTATGCAGGAGACTTTAAGAGACGCGGGTTCGATCCCTGGGTCAAGAAGATCGTTAGAGGGCATGGCAACCCACTCCAGTATTCTTGCCTGGAGAATCCCATGGACAGGGGAGAATGATAGGTTACAGGCTATAGGCTTGCACAGAGTTGGACACTATTGAAGCGTCTTAGCATGCACGCACGTGCGGAATGTGCGAGTCTGATCATCTGTGTGGTTGTTACTCCAGAGCTCAGTTCTTAGGAAACCTCTGTGAAGTTTGGTTTGATTGGAGTCCTCAACAGCAGTCACCTCAGCTTTCTCCTGAGACACTGGAATGGACGGGACACCCCATTTTCCTCTATCTCCTTTACCTGTGTGTACTGAGGGGTGAGGATGAGGATGGGGCTGGGCTGCGGCTGACCTGTGACCTGATCAGTGTCTTACCATTACTTTCTACTCTCCCAGTTATACCCTTCTCCAGGTGAGGCTCAAAAGAGAAGGAAAGAATGCATGATGAACTTCTGCAAGCAGTGTCCAAGGTATGTTGGGATTTACTCATTGTTTTCTGTCTTCTGAAAGTTAATGCTTGATAAAGGTATATCATTTGATGATAAGTTCCTATGATTTTCCTATGGAAAAAAGAATAGTTGAACCTGCTACTGAAGCACAGTAACTCCCATATACCTAATGTTTACTTATTTGGAAAATGGCTCCACTTCTGTTTGTCAAATTTTTTTCTTTTTAAATGCAATATTTATTATGACTTTAAAGCATGACTATGTTAGAGAGTTTAAAAACAGAATTACCAAGAAAAAAATAAAATAGGACCACTCAAATAACTGGTGTTAATATTTTTGTGTATTTTCATTGTTTTTCCAAAATCAAATTACACTTCATTTACCATTTTGAGTGATAGTCACTCAGTCATGTGTGACTCTTTGCGACTTCATGGACTGTAGCCTGCCAGGCTCTTCTGTCTGTGGAATTCTCCAGGCCAAAAAAGTATTCTGTCACCAAATGATCTTTGTAAATACAATTTTTCAAAGGTACATATTATTTTTTTCATGAATGAGTTATAGTTTATTCTTTGAATCAGTTGTATGAGACATGAAGTCTTTGCTTTATCTCAGGAAGGGTGTGGAGGGCTGGCAGGGAGCTAGAATTTTGGAGTCTCCTTCTAACTAGAACAAAAATATCTTTATTCACTTATGTTTCAACATGTCTCATCTTGGGGAACTCACCAAATTGCAAGGCACCAAATCAATCACGTTATTATTTTTTTTATTTGAGTGTTAGAGTGTACCCAGGTAGAAGAGTCAGAATAGGGATACTATTTTCTCAAGGTATAAGTTTGGAGCTGAAATTCAGTTCTCATGGAACTAAATTTGGAACTCTCAATTTTAAGAATGTGTGTTTGGTACAGAGGCAAAGAAAATCAGGATGAGAATTAGTCTTCTCAAATAAGCTTAAGGCCTTTCTATCTGAATTTCTTCAGAAACAGTTGAGTCCTTCCAATCCATTCTCCTGTTTCAAAGCCCAAACAGAGCATCTGGTTCCCCTCTCCCATCAACCTCTAATTATACTCACCAGCTCTATATTGAAGATATTGCCCAATATTAATACTCTAGGGAGGTAGTATACTGCAGTGGAAAATAAATTTTAAAGGGAATAAAATTAAATTTGTTTTCAGAAGCTAACCTAATGTTTGATCTGGAAATATCTGAAACATTCCCAGTAAAATCAGAGAAAGACAAGGGTACACATCATTACCAATGTTATTTAACATTGTTCTGTAGGCATTAACCAAAGCACTTAAACAAAAGGAAAAATTAGGTTATAAATTAGAAAAGAGGGTGTAAGATTATTACTTTTTGCAGATGATGTGACTGTGTACCTGGAAAACCAAATCAACTTATAACCAATACTCTGAAATAAGCAGGACTTCATAGGAAGCAAGGAAAAGAATATTTTTTTTCCCTAAATTTTCACTCTCAACTCTATGGCTAATTTTTTTTGTTGCCCTGGATAAAAGCTTGTGCAGTCCCTAAAATTGTTTTGATCACTGTTCGGTAGTTTTTGGTTATTTTCAGTCACAAGATCAGTTTTATTTTAGTAATTACACTCTCTGGTTGAGTGTAATAATGTGCAAATTTTATTTAAAGCCTGTTCTCTATCTCAGGCTTACTTCAGGCCTGCACAATGCAAGCTTGCATTGTGAAAAGGAGGACATATGGTCTTAAGCTGCTTTGTTTCCTTAACCTGAACTCCTTTCTTTGCTGCACAGTCAATTTCTTTCACATAGTCCTTTATCCTCCTATTCCTAGGTATTACTCTCTGGATCTGCTCCCAGATACTATTCTGGGCCTTGCCTTTTACAATTATACTGGACTTCGTTCACCATTCTCATGTTAGTTTCCTAGCTTGTGAATATAATACCTTTCATTTGCTTATTCTCTAGTTTTGATGGAACACATAAGCCAGTACCTTCCCAAGAAAAGCTGGACAGGAGAAAATTTAACATTCATTCTCTATGAATCTAGAATTGTCTTGAGCTAATCTTCATACTAGCTTGGTATTTAATCTTCATATTAACTTTGACTGAGTATTGAATTCTCTGTCAAAATTCATTGTCCTTTGTAATATTAAAGGAATTAGAGACTTCCCTATTGTTCTAGTGGCTAAGACTCTGCACTCCCAAAACAGGGGGCCCAGGTTCAATCCCTGGTCAGGGAATTAGATCCCACATGCAGTTAATTAATTAATTAAAAGATAAAGGGATCATTTCATTTTCTTATTTTAAATAGTGCTGTTGAGACATCCATTGCTGTTCCAATTTCTGAAAATTTTTAATGTGATCCACAGAAGCTTTTAAAAAGTTCTGTTTTTCCCTGATATTCTGAAATTTTACTCCAAAATATAACATAAAGTTTATTTTTTAAAGTTTATCACATTTCCCCCTCTTTTAGGGCTTAAAGGGAACATGGGAAGGGACTCTCATTTATGCAGACTTGACTGTGGCCAGGCACTGAGCTGCAGGCTTGCTATTTCATCTCATTGGAAAAGTCCACTCTATTTGCACACTCCTAGACAGATCCCTCTGTTCGTAGCAGATATGTCTTGGCTGATGTAATAGGGTCCAGCTCCTTCAGTTTGCTTAATAATCTGTCCTTTTCTGTAGAGCTCTCTACCATCTCATCTACTACCATCATTTTCTTCTCTCCTTCCATTGTGAAAGCATGTGTGTTATTTTCAGGGCTCAATGATGTTCAGGGACGTGTCTGTAAACTTCTCTCAGGAGGAATGGGAATGCCTGGACTCTGGTCAGATGAATTTATACAAAGAAGTAATGTTGGAGAATTTCAGCAACCTGGTTTCAGTGGGTAAGGATGACTGTCTCCCCAGTTCAGAGTCTGCTCTTGGGAATGTCTCCTTTCTCCACTGTGAATTACTCATTCCAGGTAACTAGCTAAATTCCTGCTCTCCGTCCCCCAAGGAATGGTTGAGTTGGAATGGAATGGAAGAGCTGGAAATGGGCAGCTCTGTTGGGATATGGCTTAAGCTTCATCTTTATCTTTTCTCTGGTCTGTCCTGTAGTGGCATCTCTCTTGATCACCAAAGGACTGGATCTGATTTCTGGGACACCAACAGCATAACCATGTCCCATGTCTTTTCTTGTGATCAGGACTTTCCAGTTCTAAACCGGCTGTGATCTCCTTATTGGAACAAGGAAAAGAGCCCTGGATGATTGACAGAGAACTGACCAGAGGCCTTTGTTCAGGTAAGTGAGAGATGACAGTGCAGGAGTAGAGCCTGAGGAGATATTACCTATAAGATGTTATCAGGAAACTCCCTTCAAAAACCCAAAGCCTCATCCATAAAAGATATATCTTGTTTTTTTCTCTTATACTTTTTTCTCTGTCCAATGTAGGAAGTATTAATGCCTTCCTTCTTCATTTCCAAGGCAGTTATTCTACCCACTTTTTAGATTTCATTCCTTCATAGGATATGCTGCATTTAGACTTATGTGACAGTAGATATTCCCACTCTAAGAAGTGTGTGTGTGTGTGTATTTGTGTTTTCTCTTCCAATACTGGTTTTCATTTTATCTACTTTCCAGAAAATTACTAGCTGTAATTTTCAGAACCCTTTCCCAATCACTCCCCTCTTTATCCTTCCCCAAAATACATACTATCTTGACTTCTAACTCTATGAAGTAATTTTTGCCTGTTTCTGAGCTGCATGTAAGTGGAATCATACAGTACTTATGCTTTGTTTTTTTTCCTCTCAACTTTATATTTATGGGATACATCATCCATGTTATTGCATATCAGTTCAGTTCAGTTGCTCAGTCGTGTCCGACTCTTTGCAATCCCATGGACTGCAGCACACCAGTCTTCTCGGTCCATCACCAACTCCCGGAGCTTGCTCACGCCTGTCCATCAAGTCGGTGATGCCATCCAACCATCTCATCCTCTGTTGTCCCCTTTTCTTCCTGCCTTCAATCCTTCATCAGGATGTTTTCAGATGAGCCAGTTCTTTGCATCAGATGGCCAAAGTATTGGAGTTTCAGCTTCAGCATCAGTCCTTCCAATGAATAGTCAGGACTGATTTCCTTTCGGATGGACTGGTTGGATCTCCTTGCAGTCCAAGGGACTCTCAAGAGTCTTGTCCAACACCACAGTTCAAAAGCATCAATTCTTTGGTGTTCAGCTTTCTTTATAGTCCAACTCTCACATCCATACATGACCACTGGAAGAACCATAGCTTTGACTAGACAGACCTTTGTTGGCAAAGTAATGTCTCTGCTTTTTAATATGCTGTCTAGGTTGGTCATAACTTTTCTTCCAAGGAGCAAGTGTCTTTTAATTTCATGGCTATAGTCACCATCTGCAGTGATTTTGCAGCCCCCCAAAAATAAAGTCTGTCACTGTTTCCATTGTTTCCCCATCTATTTGCCATGAAGTGATGGGGCCAGATGCCATGATCTTAGTTTTTTGAATGTTGAGTTTTAAGTCAACTTTTTCACTCTCCTCTTTCACATTCATCAAGAGGTTCTTTTTAGTTCTTTGCTTTCTGCCATAAGGGTGGTATCATCTGCACATCTGAGGTTATTGATACTTCTCCCTGCAATCTTGATTCCAGCTTGTGCTTCATCCAGCCTGGAACTTCACATGATGTACTCTGCATGTAAGTTAAATAAGCAGGATGATAATATACACGCATTTATTGCATATAGCTAATGTTGGTTCATTCTCAGTGCTATGTGGTATTCCATTCTATGGATATATTTTATATTATTTATTCTGTATTGCTAATTATTATAAATTAAGTATCCTTTCTACTATTGACTGTTTGGTGGTTTTCCAGTTTTTAGCTATTTTACATAATGCTGCTGTGAACATCTATGTACATATATTTTGGTGCATATATATACATATTTCTTTTGGGTGTGTACACAGGAATGGAGTTACTAGGTAATAGGATATGTGTTGGTTCAGTTTTAATAATGCCACTTTTCCAAAGTGGTTATGCCAATTTATATTTCCAATAGCGGTATGAATGTTGCTATTGCTCTGCATTCTTGCCAGTTCTTGATATTGCTAGACCTTTTAATGTTAGCCATCCTGTGGTATGTTTGTGTGCATGTGTGTGTGTGTGCATGTGTGTGTATTCTGTGACTTGCCCGTTTAAGTTCCTTGGTTCTGTTCATTGGGTTGTCTTTCTTTCTCTCAGTGATTTGAAGAAGCTCTTTGTATATTCTGAATATGAGCCCTTGTAAATATCTACCTGTATTGCTTACTTTTTTATTCTCTTAGTGTTATCTTTTGATGTTATTTATTTTAAGAAGACAAGCTTACCTATCTTTTCCTTTATAGTTGTTGCTTTTTGTGTTTTGTGTAGGATTCACTGCCTACTCCAAAATCATGAAGATACTTCCTATGTTATATTCTAGTAGCTTTGTTGCTTTACCTTTTACATTTAGATCTCCAGTTCCTTGGAGCTGATGTTTGATGTAGTATGAGGTAGGAGTCAAATTTCATTTTTTTCCCCCCCAGGTGAATATGCAGTTGACCCAACAAGGTCTACTGGAAGGACTTTCTCTATATAAAAGGCTACTTGGCCATAAATCAAGCGTTGCCATATCTATAAGCCTGTCTCTGGACTTTATTATGTTCTGTTTTCTTGTCTACCTTTGTCTGAATACCACACTAGAATAGTACTATAGCATTTTCAAAAACCTGCTCACTGTTCTGTGTTATTGACATTGTTTCCTCTATTCTTTTCCATGGGCACCTTTATTTTTCAAAATTTCTTTTATAACTGTAGTCCACATGTCCTAGTGACATTGCCCTTCGGTAAAATTGCCTGCTTTCCAGTACTTTTAATGTATATTAGAAAAAAAAATGTTTATCAGACATACTTAACAGGGCATTACACTCTAGTTTTGAGGCTTTTGTTTTTCCCTTTTTCCTGTAAATGCTCTTTAAGTTAGTAAATAAATAAAACTCCAAAAGTACAAACCTTTAATAAAGCAAAGTCATGAACTGAAAATACATCAAAATTAAGAATTTCTGTTAAATGAAGGACACAAAAGATAAGTTTAATGCAGAGTAGATTGGAAGATAGTTGCTAATTAATAGGAAGAAGTTAGTGACCCAATAAAAATACTGATAAAGGCTAATGAGGTTAAAATGCTAATTAATAAGCCTTTCAGATGTTGACACTTAATAATTACAAGTGCAAATGATGACAATAATGAAATATCACTTTTCACTTACTATACATGGAAAAGTAGAAAGCTGGATAATGACAGCTGTGAATGGGGACGTAGAAATTCTTATGCATTCTTGTGAAAGTATAAAATGGTTTTGCCTTTCTCTATAGTCATCTGTTACTACTTAAACTGGTATACATATGCCCCACTTTTGAGTATATATCTACAATTGAAAATCATACAAAAGGATAAATACTTCATGTCTTTCCAGTGCCATACCAGTGTATTTTTCAGGTCCATTTGAGGATTATTTAATTATCTGGGGAAATGTACCTTCGTTTCACTTATTATTTGCTACTCATTAGGGACCGAGTTCTCTTAAAATCAGATGTTAAATTTAAAAAAGATTGGTAAGTTGCAAATGATTTGTCTAGTGGAAAAGGTAGCTTGGTAGGAATAGGATAGTATCTTATTATCTTATTCTTATGTAAAAGGATTATCCCATTATCTTAAAGATTTTTATCTTTTTTTCTGTTAATGTGGCTGATATCACCATCTGCTTTTATGCTTGCTTCTGGACATCCTGGGCTTGAATAAAGATAGTGTACTACTGCACTCTATAGTCACCAGTGAAGTTGCTCAGTCATGTCCGACTCTCTGCAACCCTGTGGACTGTAGCCTACCAGGCTCCTCCATCAATGGAAATTTCCAGGCAAGAGTACTGGAGTAGGTTGCCATTTCCTTCAATAGCACAACCACTTGTAGCGGATACACACACGTGACAGTGTACACCAGACACGTGAGCTAACTTATGTGATTGGACATGTGAAAGATGTACTTTTGCATTTTTGAAAGTTGGCAACTTGAAGGTTCGTCTGTAAGGGCTTACTCTATTGTTTTCTCCATTCAGCCATTCTCTTTTCATTTGAGAGTTTAATCCATTTACATTTAAAGTTATTGTTAATAAGTAACAACTTACTATTGCTATGTTATTATTTTCTGTCCTTGTAGTTCTTTTGTCCCTCTCTCCTCTCTTGCTGCCTTCATTTTCTTTCTTTTTTTTTCATTTTCTTTCTTTATTTGTATCGATATGCTTTGAATCCTTTATTTTTCTTTTGCTTATCTTCTATAAGGTGTTTCCTTTGTAATTATCATGCGGCTTTCAAAAATATAACAGTATGTTTTATGCTGATAACAGTCACATACAAAAATAATTTTACTTCTCATTATCCACACTTTGTGCTATTGACCTTGTACCCATCTGGTACATAGATTAGTTCACCAACCAGGAACCTTCCTTCAATCCTTGCCAAGTATTTTACTGGAGTGTCATTATTTAAGCAAGTGTGACCAGCCCCATCCCTTGAAACAAAGGATCCACTGTGAATCACCTCCTTATCATAAAGTCAGATATGATCAGACGACCCTTGTTGTGAATAATGAAAGATAATCCAGTGGTTTTTGAAGCTCTTTGAGGAACTGGGAACAAAGACCAGATACATTTTTTTATATCACAAGTATGTGTATTTTCTGTTAATTCTTTCTTCTCAGTTCAGTACCAATGTACCTGCCTATGCTAGATGTTCCTGAGTCCAGATTTTTCTCTTGTTCCATTTTTCTAGATTTGTAGTTTTCTTTGAGAATGGAAAACTATAATCATCCTTTTCTGTGGGATGGGGAGGAGATACACTCTTTGAATTCATCCTTCAGCTTTTACTCTGCTCTGCACTCTGCTATTAGAAGTGACTGATGCCTCCAGTTCTTAATGTATTTAAAGGGATTTGCACCATGAATCAATACTGTGGAATTCACCCACTGGAGCTTGTTTGGTATTCTCTGGTCTGCAGTCACTTATCACTCATCCATTGACTTTCCAGTTTCCAGGTTCTGTTTCTTCTCCAGTATCTTTTATCCGCATGGGGTTTTCCTTTCCCCTTGTTAAGCTTTTAGTGTAATTTTCTTATGGATTCATGAAAAGCTTTGGTAAACTTATACCTACAGTCTGCCATTTTTAACAGAAATTATGCCCCCTTTTTAAAAAAATACAGTTGTCCCTCATTAAGTCACAAATTCTATATTTATGAATTTACTTACTCGCTGAAATTTATTTGTAAATCCCAAATCAGTACTTAACAGTGTTTCCATGGTTATTAGCAGATATAATGTAGAGTGGGGAAAATCCTCTTTTCTCACAGGGACTGTTTCATTCTTATTTTGTACTTTCTCACACTAAAGCTGCCTCCCTTCTTAGTGACTGCCATGACTTGAAGATTCCATTTCTCTCTCCCAGCATCAGCATCACAGAATTCGAAGGCAAACTGTTTTCACTGCATCCCCAACATGTACCAGGCTCTATTCACAGAAGTGATTTACCTGTCTACCATTCTCACCAGTTTCATTCAGCTCCCTAGACTTGCTGTGGGCTATCCCACAGTGTGAATTTGCCGACAATATACCCTTTGCTTAAAGTCACTAACCCTCCACTATCCCCATTTATACATTTAAACACATTTATTCCTCAGTAGTCCTGAAAGCATGGCAGTTATCCACAAATTACAAGACATAGTATGGTGCTCTGTGAGTATGTGCTTATGTAAATGTATGTATGCTTAGAATCACTGTGTAATGTGGAGGATATCCCTGAATAGTGTGGACTCACTGAAGTTGCAGGTGATTCTGATCCCCACCAGGTTCTCTTCAGCTTCCTCTGTTGCCTCTCCTTAATGTCTGTGCTTTTCTTATTAATTTTACAAATTGCTTAGCCATGTTTGAGAACTATCCATTTACTTTCCCATGTATTATTTTCAGTTTAATCCTTGCATTTCTCAGACGTTTAACCTTTCCCAGAATAAGAAAAATAAGCATATGCCTTTCTGTTTTCTTTCAGACCTGGAATCCATGTGTGAGACTAAGTTATTGTCTCTAAAGAAGAGACATTTTAGTCAAGTAATATTTACCCATGAAGACCTACCCACTTTTTTTCAGCCCACATTTCTCATTCCACATCAAAAAACTATTAATGAAGAGAAATCCTGTGAATGTAAAATATGTGGAAAGGCCTTTAATCAAAACTCACAGTTTATTCAACATCAAAGAATTCATTCTGCTGAAAAAAATTATGAATGTAAGGAGTGTGGGAAATCCTTTAGTCGTGGCTCACTTGTTACTCGACATCAGAGGATTCACACTGGTGAAAAACCCTATGAATGTAAAGAATGTGGCAAGGCTTTTAGTTGCAGTTCGTATTTTTCTCAACATCGGAGGATTCACACTGGTGAGAAACCCTATGAATGTAAGGAATGTGGAAAGGCCTTTAATTATTGCTCAAACCTTAATGATCATCAGAGAATTCACACTGGTGAAAAACCCTATGAATGTAAAGTATGTGGAAAAGCCTTTACTAAGAGTTCACAACTTTTTCCACACCTGAGAATTCATACTGGTGAGAAACCTTATGAATGTAAGGAATGTGGGAAAACCTTTACTCAACAGTCAAGGCTTATTCAACATCACAGAATGCACACTGGTGAGAAACCTTATGAGTGTAAGGAATGTGGGAAGGCCTTTAGTAGTGCCTCAACACTTACTAACCATCACAGAATTCACACTGGCAAGAAACTCTATGAATGTAAAGAATGTGGAAAGGCCTTTATTCAGAGCTCTGAACTTATTCAACATCAGAGAATCCATACAGATGAAAAACCATATGAATGTAATGAGTGTGGAAAGGCTTTTAATAAAGGCTCAAACCTTACTCGTCATCAAAGAATTCACACTGGTGAGAAACCTTATGACTGTAAAAAATGTGGAAAGTCCTTTGGTAGTCGCTCTGACCTCATCCGCCATGAAGGAATTCATAATGGATAAGTGATAGTTCCTTTTGATAAACTTGATAGTATTTTTAAAACAGTAATGCAAAAAAAAAAAAAAAAGGCAAGGAAAAAAACTGAAGGTTCTTCTGTGTAATAGTTTCCTAGGGCTGCTGTAATGAAGTACCAAGTACCACAAAACCAGGTGGATTAAAACAACAGAACTTATTCTCTCATAGTTTTTGAGACTTGAAACCCAAAATCAAAGTTGTTGGCAAATTTGGTTCCTTCCAGGGACTCAGGAAGAATCTGTTCCACACCCTTCTCCTAGCTTCTTATAGCAGCAATTTTTGACATGCCTAGGCTTATAGAAGCATTGCTGCTATCTCTGCCTCCATCTTCACACTGCGTTCTCTGTGTATCTCTGCATCTGTTCTGTTATACAGACACAGGTCATGTTGGATTAGGGCTCACCTAATCTTAAAGGACCTCATCTTAACTTGATTTTATCTGCAAAGACCTTATTTCCAGGTACTATCACATTAACATACCAGGGGTTTGGACTTCTAACATAGTTTCACCCGTTACACTATTAACACTATTTTTTCTAATGTGTTTGTAATTTTATACATAACATTAATCAAATGTATTTTTTTAATGTAAATAATGTGAATTCAGGGTCTAAATTAAACCCCCTTTTCCCTCAAAAAATTCTATCCCCAAAATTCTATGTTTTAGGACCATCTTTTCTATTTCCATGGCCTACATAATACTACACTGTAAATTGTGTTGCATAGGCTGTCTTTGAATTCATGGTGGAATTATAAATTTGTATTTGAAGGCAGCTCTATTCTTCTTTTGTTAGGTTAATATTTTCTTGTTGTTAAAAAAAAACAGGGCACAAAGAAAAAAAGATAAGCCTGTGAAACAGAAATGACTTCTTTCAAATTATCATAATATATCCTTGCAGGCTTTATTTAATGTAATCATGACATACATGTTGTACTATAACCTGCTTTTATGCTACTGTTTAAGTACAGGTGTTTATGTATTATTATTTTTAATGGTGTCGTAATCTTTTCTGTGGTTGATTCTCATTTTGCTAAATAACTACTGATAAACATTTTGGTGCCTGTTTAAACTTTTGCAGTTACAGAAGTTGCCTTCTAAATGCAACTTTAGTACTTTTTTTGTTTGAAATTTCAAAACATTTAATTTCAATGTTGAAATAACTAATGAATATTTTCTCCCTGTAAAAAATTGCCAATAATCCCCAATTCCCTCATAATCACTATTATGAATTTATTTTTATCCTTGGAAACCTTTTTTTTTTAAATACGTGCATGTGCACACAAAACCAAATATGTAAACAGTTTAGAAAAGGTATTGCTTTATTCGTTTTTGTGTGTAATTACCTACTAATGATGGTTATGTTGGATTGCTGTAAGGATTTAACTCATTTGAGTTAAGTGAAAAATGGGAGTCTTACCCAACATATCGTACGAATGTAGCTGGTAGTTATCCAAAATTAACATTAATATTTTCAACATTATTATTTATGGAAAGGACTTTTACCATGTTTCATCATATTAACACCTTAATTTATATCAAACAGTTTATAATGAAAAAAGGACCTATGGCTGTAATGTTTGCAAAAAAGCATCTTAGCAACACTTACTCCTTATTCAACATGAAGTATAGAAAGAAAAATAAAACACTGAGAAAATCTGGAGACAAAGAATGGGTGAATAAGCCTACATTAACACCTTGTACTTCAGGCTGCACAATTATCTCATACCCAGCAAAAAACCTATTGATCAAGAATAGTTGAAAACCCATTTGTCAAAAAAGAGAAAGACATGAAATATTAAGTTAATAAACACTTCCTTCTCAGAAAACCTGTAGATCATATTTTCCAGAATGGGAAAAAATTAAAATATGGTAACAACAATATCTAAATATTGACAATGCTCCTCCAAATGTTGGGGCTTCCCTGGTGGCTCAGTGGTAAAGAACCCACCTGCCAAGCAGGAGATGTGGATTCAATCCCTGGGTCGGGAAGATTCCCTGGAGAAGGAAATGGCAACCCACTCCAGTATTCTTGCCTGGGAAATCCCATGGACAGAGGAGCCTGGCTGGCTACAGTCCGTGAGGTAGCAAAGATCAGACACAACTGAGCAACTAATCACGCACACACAAGCATACAAGCACATTATGTAGGAAAACTTTTGGGGATTGGCAGGCAACTAGATTTATATTTAGATTAGAATGTATAGACTGGGACTTCCCTGGTGGTCCAGTGGTTGAGAGTTCTCTTGCCAGTGCAGGGGAAAAGGGTTTTATCCTTGGCCCAGAGTTGGACACGACTGAAGTGACGCAGCAGCAGCAGCAGCAGAAAGATTTCACATGCTGCAGGGCAATTAAGCAAGTGCGCCACAACTAGTGAAGCCTGTGCACCCTAGAGCCTGTGCTCTGCAACAAGAGAAGCTGCTGGAATGAGAAGCCTAACCATGGCGACTGGAGAGTAGCCCCTGCTCCCTGTAATTAGAGAAAGGCCCCTGCACCAACGAAGACCGAGCGTGGCCATGTGCCGTGCTTGTGTGCTTAGTCACTCGGTCGTGTCTGATAGTTGCAACCCTGTGGACTGTAGCCCACCAGGCTCCTCTGTCCATGGGGATTCTCCAGGCAAGAATACTGGAGTGGGTTTCCATGCCCTCCTCCAGGGGATCTTCCCAACCCAGGGATCGAACCCAGGTCTCCTGCGTTGCAGGCGGATTCTTTACTGTCTGAGCCACCGGGGAAGCCCACCGCAGCCATACATAAATTTAAACAAAATTTAAATGTATCGGCTTGCTGATAGTATCAGGAAATCCCTAATAAATTAACTAAATATATAAGACAAAATGTCAGAATAATGAAAGCAAACTAAATTGAAACGTAGAAGAAAAGTCTTCCCTGGTGGTCCAGTGGTTGCCATGCCAATCTTCCAATACAAGGGATGAATGTTTGTTCCTTGGTTGGGGATCTAAGATCCTACATACCTCTTTGTGAGGAAAAAATAAGAGATTGTCAAGAGAATGAGAAGACAATTCATAGGATGGTATAAAATGTCTACAAATCATATATCTGATAAGAGATTAATATCTAGAGTATATAAAGAACTCCAAAAGCAATATGAAAAACGGGCTTCCCTGGTGGTTCAGCGGTAAAGAATCAGACTGCCAATGCAGGAGATACAGGTTAGATCCCTAATCCAGGAGAATCCCACATGCCTTGAAGCAGCTAAGCCTGTGTACCACAGCTATTGAGCCTGTGCTCTAGATCACGGGAGCCACAACTACTGAGGCCTGCTCCTTACAGCCTGTGCTCTGCAACAAGAGAAGTCACTGCGATGAGAGGCCCAAGCAACAAAACTAGAGAGTAATCCCAACACTGCAAGTAGAAAAAGCCCAAGCAGCAACAAAGGCCCACAACAGCCAAAAATTAATTAAAAAAAAAACCTGATTAAAAAATGGGCAAAGGTCTTAAATAGACGTTTCTCCAAAGATAGTATACAGATGGCCAATGAACACAAGAAAAGATGCTCAATATCACCAATCAGTTCAGTTCAGTCGCTCAGTTGTGTCCGACTCTTTGCAACCCCACGGACTGCAGCACAACAGGCTTCCCTGTCCATCGCCAACTCCTAGAATTTACTCAAACTCCTGTCCATCGAGTCGGTGATGCCATCCAACCATCTCATCCTCTGTTGTCCTCCTCTCCTCCTGCCTTCAATCTTTCCCAGCATCAGGATCTTTTCAAATGAGTCAGTTCTTTGCATCAGCTGGCCAAATTATTGGAGTTTCAGCTTCAGCATCAGTCCTTCCAATGAATAGTCAGGACTGATTTCCTTTAGGATGGACTGGTTGGATCTCCTTGCTGTCCAAGGGATTTTCAAGAGTCTTCTCCAACACCACAGTTCAAAAGCATCAATTCTTCAGCGCTCAGCCTTCTTTATTCCAACTCTCACATCCATTCATGACTACTGGAAAAACCATAGCTTTGACTAGACCTTTGTTGGCAAAGTAATGTCTCTGCTTTTAATATGCTGTCTAGGTTGGTCATAACTTTTCTTCCAAGGAGCAAGTGTCTTTTAATTTCATGGCTATAGTCACCATCTGCAGTGATTTTGGAGCCCAGAAAAATAAAGTCTGACACTGTTTCCACTATTTCCCCATCCATTTGCCATGAAGTGATGGGACCAGGTGCCATGATCTTAGTTTTCTGAATGTTGAGTTTTAAGTCAACTTTTTCACACTCCACTTTCATCAAGAGGCTTTTTAGTTCTTCTTCACTTTCTGCCATAAGGGTGGTATCATCTGCGCATCTGAGGTTATTGATATTTCTTCCAGCACTCTTGATTTCAGCTTGTGCTTCAAGTTAAATAAGCAGGGTGACAATACTGCTTGATGTACTCCTTTCCCTATTTGGAACCAGTCTGTTGTTCCATGTCCAGTTCTCACTGTTGCTTCCTGAGCTGCATATAGATTTCTCAAGAGACAGGTAAGGTGGTCTGGCATTCCCATCTCTTTAAGAAGTTTCCACAGTTTGTTGTGATCCACACAGTCAAAGGCTTTGGCATAGTCAATAAAGCAGAAGTAGATGTTTTTCTGGAACTCTCTTGCTTTGGCATTGTTTGCTATCTCCAATACCAAGAACAGTGCCTGGTTCGTGGTAAGCACTCTGTATGCACTTGTGATAAATGGATATATTACTTCTATTTAGAGTTCAAGAACTCTGAGGAAGGGATTTCCCTGGCAGTCCAGTGATTAAGACTTTGAGCTTCTACTGTGGGGGCCTGAGTTTGATTCTTGGTTGGGGAATTAAGATTTCACATGCCCTGTGGTGCAGCCAAAAACAAACAAAAAAAATTTTTTTTTTAAATCCCAGCAATCACATCCAGAATACATGGCTCACTCAGCTCTGTTCCAGCACAGTCACCTTCCTGACTCTTTCCTACTTTCAAACTTATTTCTCTGGTGAGGTGGGTAGGTTCTAAGCTGCTTGCAGTGACCACTACCTCCTGAAAAATCTGGAAGGAGGAATTCCCCTTATGTAATTTCCTCCCCTTGAATGTGACTGGGAACTGTGACTTGCATCAAACTGTCAGGTGAGTGTATGCTCCTTGGTTTTTGTCTTGTCACAACAAAGATTTGGAGTGATGGACATTAAAGCCCCCCTCGCCGTGTCACAGCTCTCAGGTCTTGGACAGACTGTGTTATAGCTCTCAGGTCTCAAACGGACCGTGTTATAGCTCTCAGATAAATCAGTGTTACAGCTCAGTGTTACAGCTCTGTTTTATTTAGAAGATGGCAGGAAAATCCATCTTTGAGGCATGAAGGCATGTCGATCCAAAGATGCAAAGAGAAGAGCTCCCCAGCACGCGGGAGAGAGAGAGCTAGCTTTGGCTCCTCTTTTGATGTTTTTCTCTCCCTGGGCCTGTCCTATGTAAATTGGGCCAGACAGGAGTGCTATTTCTTTTACCGGAGGTTCTCACTCCGGTCCTCGGACCTCCCTTTGTTCTATTTTCGTGGGCTTTTCCCTTCCAGGTCTTTAGCCACTGCCATTCTGGACTCCTTTTCCCTATTCTAACTACCTAACAAAACCAATAAAATAAAACATGTGAACAAAGGATGTTCACATGCATGATAATAAAGTGTAACTTCTATATTGGGATCTTCCCTGGTGGCTCAGAGGGTAAAGTGTCTGCCTACAATGCAGGAGACCTGGGTTTGATCCCTGGGTCAGGAAGATCCCCCAGAGAAGGAAATGGCAACCCACTCCAGTACTCTTGCCTAGAAAATCCCATGGACGGAGAAGTCTGGTAGGATACAGTCCATAGGGTCACAGTGTATGCTAAGTCACTTCAGTCGTGTCCAACTTTTTGCGACCCCATGGATTGTAGCCCACCAGGCTACTCTGTCCATGATTCTCCAGGCAAGAATATTGGAGTTTCCATGCCTTCCTCCTGACCCAGGGATTGAACACTGATGGTGACAGGGTAACAGGCAGGAAGGCCAGGGGTCTCCAAATGGAGGCTGCAAGTGTCAGACATCTATCTCTCTCTTAAGTGGCAGGAGGAAAAAAACTAGTGAGATATATATGCATATATATATATATATATATATATATATTTTTTTTTTTTTTTCCTTCCCTATACAAATTTAAAAGGTTTCTCATAAAATACTGTGTTGCCATAATGACACCTCGTTCCACCTGAAGTTAGCTATTCTCAAACCTGTGGGGCTACCGGGGCTGGCAGGCGGCCCGGACCTGGGTTTCGGTTTCCCCTGAAATGGTGGGATTCCCCGCCCCCATCGGGCCGCCTGGAGCCAGCCAATCAACAGGCGCCCAAAAGGGAACAAAGAGAACAGGAGGGAAAACGGAAAAGCCCGCGAACGCTGAAGTTTGAACAAAAGCCCCGGAAAGTTTGTACCAATAGAATTGCTTTGCAAACATGTAACCAATCCGCTTAAGCCAGCTACCAACCGCTTATGCATACCCTAAAAATTTGGGTAACAGCTCGGGCTCGGGGCTTTTCTGACCCTGCACCACTGGGTTGGTTGCAGCAGGAGCCCTGGCTCCAGTCAGTAATAAACTTCCCTTTTTTTGCGAGTTGCATTGTCTTGGAAGCCTTCTCTCTTCCCGCTCGGGAATTCGGACATCAGGCATAACAAAACCTTGAGTTAACCAATGCATTTTTCTTATGGAAATGTTTGTCTTAAGCTATGTTAATGTACTATGCATTTACCCCAGACTCTGTCTTCAAGTCGGTTCTGCCTAATGGCTCAGAACCGACTTGACAAACCAGTATGTTATACTTAGACATATATGTAATATATGTAATCTATGTAAATGAAACTATTTGTGTGGTAATTTGACTTTCTACAAGATTCAAGTCAATCGTTTTATGGCCTGGGATGACTTGTCTGGTGCCAAGATTATCCCAAAATACATTTTATGGATGAGGGGCCTGGTGCTATTCTGAGTTTTAAGACATTTCTTTCATTAACAGACTGCTAGTGACTATATAACATCCAGCTAAAATTTAACAAGCAGGGAGGTACTCTTTCTATCCCCTTCTGACGCCTATGTCAGAAGCTTTCTCTATCTCCTTTATACGTTAATAAAACTTTATTACATAAAAGTTCTGAGCGATACAGCCTCGTCTCTGGCCCCAGATTGAATTCTCCTCCGGGGGCCAAGAATCCCGATGTCTTTTCGTGGTTCAGCAACAACCTTTCAATAGCTCAGTTGGTAAAGAATCTGTTGCAATGCAGGAGACCAGGGTTCCATTCCTGGGTCGGGAAAATCCACTAGAGAAGGGATAGGCTACCCTACCAACTCCAGTATTCTTAGGCTTCACTTGTGGCTCAGCTGGTAAGGAATCCGCCTGCAATGCGGGAGACCTGGGTTCTGAAAGTTTGTTGCTGAACGATAAAACACCAGGATTGTATTTTGGGATAATCGTGGCACCAGATAATTCATCCCAGGCCATAAAACGATTGACTTGAATCTTGTAGAAGGGCAGATTACCATACAAATAGTTTCATTTACATAGATTAGGGGAACAATGTCTGAGTATAACATACTGGTTTTTCAGGTCGGTTCTGAGCCAGAGCCGTTAGGCAGAACCAACTTGAAGACAGAGTCTGGGGTAAATGCATAGTACATTAACGTAGCTTAAGACAAACATTTCCATAAGAAAAATGCATTGGTTAACTCAAGGTTTGAGAATAGTTAACTTCAAGTGAAACCAGGTGTCATTATGGCAACACAGTATTTTAAGAGAAACCTTTTTAAATTTGTATAGAGGGAAAAAAATATCGCTAATTTGTTTCCTCCTGCCCGTTAAGAGAGATAAAAATGTCTGACACTTGCAGTCTATTTCCTCCGTTTGGAGACCCCTGGCCTTCCTGCCTGTTACCCTCTCAGTTTGATCCCGGATTGGGATGATCCGCTGGAGAAGGGAAAGGCTACCCACTCCAGTATTCTGGTCTAGAGAATTCCATGGACGTCTATGGGGTGCACTGAGCAACTTTCCCTTTGGACTCCTGCACTGCAGGCAGATTCTTTACCACTAGCGCCACCTGGTGTCTGTATTGGTAGCTGATTCCTTATTTGAAGCAAGCTGCTCTGTTGTGAGCTGTACATTGGAGAGACCCATGTGGCAAGGAATGGTGGGTAGACTTTGGCCCACAACCAGCACAAAATGGAGGTCCTCAGTCCAACAGTTCACATAGAATTGAATTCTGCCAACAATTATGTGATCCTGGAAGCAACTTCTTCCCTAGTTGAGGATTGTTGTGGTCAACACCTTGACTGCAGCCTTGTGAGATATGAACTCAAGGACCCAGCTGAGTCGTGTATGTGTTGCAGGAAGGGGGACCCCTTCCAGGGCCCGAAACTGGGCTCTTATCTAACACTCGGAAATGAATTGTCTGAGGAGACACATGGTCTGGCAAACCAAGAGATTTTATTGGGAACGGGCACCCGGGCAGAGAGCAGGAGGGACCCAGGAGAACTGCTCTGCCACGTGGCTCACAGTCTCGGGTTTTATGGTGATGGGGTAGTTTCTGGGTTGTCTTTAGCCAATCATTCTGACTCAGTTCTTCCTGGTGGTGCATGCCTTGTTCAGCCAAGATGGATACCAGTGAGAAGTGAAGGAGTCTTTTGGGCCTAGAAAAGAAAACCACAGTCTCAAAGGCCCTTGCTGAATCATCTAACTTCAGAGAAAACAAAACAGAACTTTATTTCCGCCCTGATGCCCCAGGCCGGTTGCATCTATCTGGGACTTATCACCCCCTGTACAGAAACCTTCCACCCTCACACCTGCCCAGAAGACTTATCCCCCCCTTCAGAAACCTTCCACCCCCTCCACCCGCCCAGAAGACTTATCACCCCCTGCCCAACTACAAATGTCATCTTAACAAAAGAATACTCAAAATATCCCGCCTGATTAACGTTTCCCTTATCGGTTCCACAAACCTCCCTATAAATATGAAGCCTCCCTGATCCCTCTGGGCGCTCAGCCTGGTCGTTAGGCCGACTGTCGCCCCTCCTTGCCTGAATAAAGGTAACCTACTTCTGTGAGGTCATCTTTCCTTTTCTGCCTCGCCCGAACTATACCTTAAAAGAAAGATTCTGGGAAGTGGTTGGACATGTGGTGTCTCCTTTTTCCTTTTGACCTTTCCTGAACTCTTCCGGTTGGTGGTGGCTTATTAGTTCCCTGTTCCTTACCAGGACTTCCTGTCGTAAAACAACTCAAGCAAATGGTTACTATGGTGCCTGGCCAGGGTGGGCAGTTTCAGTGTGTGCTTCCCCTATCATATGGACTCACAGAAACTGTGAGAAAACAAATGTGGGTTGGTTTAAGCTACCAAATTTGTGATAATTTGTTAGGTAGCACTAGATAACTAAAACACTTAAGTGTGTTAGTTGTCTAGAGACCAGGGTTAACAAATGTCATAATTGTTTCTCATTATTATCTGTACTGTGAAGAAGCTGCTTTGTATCAGAGCTAATGATTAATTGCATGATCCATATCAGAGGTCCACCCTTGTCTGACCATCATAATTACTGAAGATGCTCAAAGCCTCTGTCAGAGCTAAGAAAACACAATCTCTGGGGCTAATGTGTGCACACGTGCTGAGTTACTTCAGTCATGTCCGACTCCAGCTGTGTGCAACCCTATGGACTGTAGCCTGCCAGGCTCTTCTGTCCATGGGATTCTCTAGGCAAGAATACTGGAGTGAGTTGCCATGCCCTGCTCAGGGCTAATGTGTAATTTTTTTTTTTAATTATTCAACTTCTCTGGTGGTCTAGTGGTTAAGAATCTGCCTGCCATGGAGGGGACATGGGTTTGATCTTTGGTCCAGGAGGATCCCACATGGCTCAGAGCAACTGAGACTGTGCGCCACAATTACTGAGTCTGTGCTCTAGAGCCTGTGCTCCACAATAAGAGAAGCCACTGCAATGAGAAGGCCTCACGCCGCAACTAGAAGGTAGTCCCTGCTTGCTGCAACTAGAGAAAGCCTAGGCACAGCAATGAAGACCCAACACAGCCGAAAATAAACAAATAAAAAACAATAAAAACGAATTATCTGCAAACTATCTTGCCCTAGATATTAACTACAAAGGCAGAAATAGTAGCTTTAGAGTAGGGAAATCTGACAGTGAGCACCTTGACCAAGGTTAACATCACCAATAAGATTTATCACCATCATGTGCCCGCTGATATGATGAACTGAAGATGCATCTCTTCTGTAATATTAATGCATAACCCACTGAATCAAACCCAAATGGAGGGATAGTCTACAAAATAACTGGCCAGTATTGTTCAAAAGTGTCTAAGTCATGAAAAACAAAAGACTGAGGAACTATCATAGACTGGAGGAAACTGAAGAGAAATAACAAGCAATGTGGGATCTGGACTGGATCTTGGACTAAACGAAGAACATCAGTAGAAAGGGCTTATAATGGTATATCAATGTTAATTTCCTGGTTTTGATCATTGTATTATGATTATACAAAGTGTTAACATTGGGGGAAGCTGAGTCAAGACTATTTGGGAATTATTTTGCAATTTTTTTGAGAGTCAAATTATTTCAAAATAAAACAAAAAAAAATCTCTCTACTTGAGGGATTTCTCGAAGTATTGCCTTTTGCTCTTTAGATCTACATGTTTTCTTTTACTCTGGTGATATCCCAAAGACTGGATCAGGGGAAAGATAATAGACTAGGCCAGGGTGCCATCTTATCAGAAAATGAAAACATTTCCCAGGCTTCATGTATTTCAAAACACTTCTTCCCCCTTTATTTTGCTTTTCAAATTACAAAAGTTATATATGTTTGTAACAAGTCAAACCTTTAATACAAAGGTATATAAATTAAACAACTATTTCTGTTCCCCACCAGGGTAATCAATGTTAATTAACACCTTGTTTTATATCCCTCCACACTTTTCTTTGTTCATATAAACACATGCATGCATATATACACATATAGGTTTTTAATTTTAAAAATAGATTCATATACATTATTCTGAAATTTTCTCTTTTAAACTTAACAATATACCACAAATATCTCCACAAATGAAAGTTCTACTAACCCTTCAAATTTCTTAATCATACATTGGACATATCATACGTGGTTCAGATGTTTACATATTTTTTCTTCTGGGCTTTTTTTCCCTAAATCTCCCATTACCCACCTACATCACCCACCACCCCCCAACACAATGCATACTCTTCTATACTTTTCTCCATGCATATGAAATATTACACAAACATATGATACATGTTTATCACTCATAGACACCTAGAAGCATTTTGTAACTGATTTACAAAAACAGAGTCATGTTTTACACACATTTTTATCTTGCTTTTTTCACTCAAGAAAACATTGTGGTTTCATTCAAGTTCACTAGCATAGTTTTAACCTGTCCACCTTAATGGCTATATATACATTCTATGGAGTGGACATACTATATAGTTCCTTCCCTCTTCTGATATCCCTATCTCCTTCTCTCTTCCAATTTCCAGCATTTATTTTGATTCCAGTGTTTTTTGCCACTAGGAACAGCATCACAATAAATGTGGATGTCCTTTATATATTGGGGTTTTATTTCTAAGAGAAGATCCCCTAAAGTGAGTACTTTCACTTATAATAGATGTACTTTCAGTTATAATAGATGTCAGATTGCTTTTCAAAAGATCTGTAAGAATTTATGTTTCTACCAGCAAGGCTAAGTTCATTCTTTGTTTCTGACAGCAAAAAGCATTCCTGCTCTTTCTTGCCAGCCTGATTGTATATCATTACCTCATAACTGTAATCTGCAATCTCCAGCAATTACTAAGGCTAAACATTTTTTGATAAGCTCATAAGTCACTTGGATTTGTTCTTCTCTCAACTATATTCTTTGCCATGTTTCATTACTGGGCTATTTTTTCTTGTCAATATGAAGAGCACTTTTTCTCTAACTGACTCTGCAAATATTTTTTCCCCAAGTCATTGTTTACTGGCTGTTAATGGCACCTTTTGCTGTGCAAAAGATTGAGATTTTCATGTAGTCAAATATTCATTTAACAGTTTTTGAGAGTCCTGTGTTGGTAAATCCAGTTTCTAGATTGTACATGTAGTCTCCTTTTATTTCAAGAATTTTATTGTTATTTTAAAATTTTAAATCTTAAGTTCATCTGGAGTTTTCTTCATATGGTTTGTGCTATTAGTTCAATTTTACTTTCTTCCTGATTAAAAGCCAGTTGTGCCAGAATTTTTCTTTTTTTTTAGATAAACAGTTCCTTTCCCCTATGGTTTGAAACTGTACCCTTTCCATATGTGATAAAAATCATATACATTGCAGTCTATTCAGTATTTGCTATTCTGTTCCATTGATGTATTTATCTGTTCTTTTGCCAATACTATATTAATTTGCTTAGAATAACTTCATCTTATATTCTGACATTGGCATGAAATTTCCTCTTTTATACTTGTCTAGATTCTCAGGCATTTATTTTTCCATATGGAATTTAAGATCATTTCACATAAGTTTTTAAAAAAACAGGGAGTTCCTTGGTGGTCTAATGCTAAGGATTCAATGCTTTCACTGCCATGGCCGGAATTCAAATCCTGGTCAGAGAACTGAAATCCCATAGCTGCAGGGGGGAAAAGAAAAATCAGTGGGACTTAATGTAATTCCAAAAGAAGCACATACAAATTATAAGATGTTTATGGAGAAAATCTCTTGATTTCTATACTCTGTCTTCTTAGAAAATTAACTTTTTAACTCAAAACAATCATAAGTCTCTCAATTTACTGATATACAATCCCTTCATCAGCAAAAGGAAACAGTTTTACCTTTTTTTAAGCCTTATAACAATTATTCAATTTTCTTTCTTATCACCTTCACTGGAACTTCCAAGGTAATCTTTAGTAAAAATAGATGACAGTGGACATCTATTAAACTATTAAATTCTTGATTTTAGAAAATGGCTTCAGCATAACATATATATAGGTTTTGGTAAAGAAACTCTAGGTAGCTATCATCTCTTATAATTTAATTTATATTTTATTAGATTATAAATGTTTATAAATTTCATTAAATGCCTTATCAGCAACTATTGATAGCATCTTCTCTCCTGTTAATTTTATTGATATGTTTCCTATTACTCTTGTATTGGCTCTTCATATCATGATGACTTTTCCTTGGTCATTATAATATATTGCTGTTTAGGTGTACTAGTAAATTCTGTCTTCTATTATTCTCATTACAGTTTTTGTTCCTATATTCATGAGTAAGGATGGTCTGAAGTTTCCTGTTTTCCAACTACGTTTATTTGGTTTTGGTGTTAAAACTTGTTCTGGTTTCATAAAATAAGTTGGGGAGCATAGTCTATACGATGAAATATTTTAACTAACACTGGAGTTACTCTTTCTTTAAAAGTTAGATAGAACGAATCGTGAAATCATCTAGGCCTGGAGCATTTTTCAATCATGAATCTTTCATCACTTTTCCAAATTCTCCAATGGTAATTGTTCCATCAAGTTTTCCACTATGTATTGCAATTTTTCATAGCTTGCATTTTGCTAGAATAGCATCTATTTCCTGTTTCAAAAATATGTTGATCTACAGTTGCATGAAATATCTTACCATTCTTTTTTTTTTCTTGCCATGCCTTCCAACTTGTGGAATCTTAGTTCCTCGACCAAGGATTGAACCTGGGCCCTTGGCAGTGAAAGGGTGGAGTCCTAATCACTGGCCCACTGGGGAACTCTCCTTATCAATTCTTTTAAATACATCCATATCTTTGATTATGTTTTCTCTTTTTCTAGATTAGGCATTCTTACAGGGAGACAAATCTTGAACAATGTGACCATCTGTTTTCTTATATAAATGACATGGCAGCTCAAAGAGATGGACTTGAATTGGAATGATGAAAAAACTTGGATTTCAGCGTCCAGGACACTAACAGGGAAATTTATAGGGAAGAAAAAAAAAAAATCAATGTTGCTGAACTAATTTGGAGGGAAAAAAAAGAAAGGAATTCTCCTTCATTGGTCTGTGCATGAAATATTTCTGAATTATAAGACTCATAAAATGTGTCTCTCCTACTAATTTGCTGCAAGGTATTTTAAGCAAGACTAAGAAAACAGGAATAATGCACAATATATCAGGGCCACACTACTTTCTGTGTGCATGTGCTAAGTTGCTTTAGTCATGTCTGACTCTGCAACCCTAGGGACTGTAGCCTGCCAGGTTCCTCTGTACAAATCCAAGCAAGAATACTAGAATGGGTTGCTAAGCACTCCTCCAGGGGATCTTCCTGACCCAGGAATCAGACCCTCGCCTCTTACATCCCCTGCATTGGCAGGCAGATTCTTTACCACTAGTGCCAACACTACTTTCTATTAAGTAATGAATATGCTGAGTCATCATTTTGTTCACTGAGTGTTAAGTTGTAAAACTATTCCTTAGCTTTGTCTTTAACATTAAAAAAGGCAAAACAAATAATGTTTACTTATTTAATAATATATTTACATATTAAAATAATAAAGACAAAATAAGTGCCTTTTTAAAGTTAAAAACATTTAATAAAGTTTTTTCTAATTTAACAAAAGACATTAAAAACATTATTATTCAGAAAAGGGACCAACAACAAATGTTATGGCCATTTACATGTATTACAAAAAGACAGAGAAAATATACTGGCTTAATATGTTAAAGCTTTTTAAAAAAATAGTTGGTCATGCTACTATTATCATTGTTGCTGCTTGTATTGTTAAAGGGTTTCTCAGGTGGCTCAGTGGTAAAGAATAAGCCTGCCAATTCAGGAGATGTGTGTTCAATCCCTGGATTGGGAAGACCCCTGGAGGAAGAAATGGTAACCCACTCTAGTATTCTTGCCTGGAAAATTCCATGGATAGAGGAGTCTGGTGGGCTATAGTCCATGGAGTCACAAAGAGTTGGACAAAACTGAGCACACACACATGTATGGAAAGACACCAAAAGACAATGGTGATATTTAGAGTGAAAAAGTTTGGTGAATGGCATTCTAAATATGTGCTTGATATTCAACTTAAATTCACATTTATAATTCTAAAATATAAATAGTGCTTATTATGTGGGTCACTGTGGGACATACCAAAATATACTTATTTTCTTCACATATATTTTGTGCTCTGTAATCATTCCATTTAATATATTTTAAACTTTCATAAGCCAAAGTGATCATGTTTATGTTTTAAATATGGAGTATTTTCTATAATCTTTTGTATAAAATTTTCTATCACAACTGGAATATGACTTGCCTTATGATGAAACACCTTGTCAAAATTCATTAAATATGAGATTTTTCCTAAGGATGAATTCCTCCACATATAATGAAATAGGATATCTTGCTCAAGGCTTTCCTACTATTTTTAGGTCATTCCTATAAGTATTCTTCCTAGCATGAATTTTCTGATGTCTACTAAGGTTTGGCTTCTGATAGAATGCTTTGCCACATTCATTGCATCCATAGGGTTTTTCTCCTGTATGAGTTCTCCAATGTTTATTGAGGCATGACTTTTGACTGAAAGATTTTCCACATTCTCTACAACGATAGGGTCTTTCTCCTGTGTGTATTTTTTGATGTACATTGAGGTATGACTTCTCACCAAATGACTTCCCACATTCATTACACACAAAGGGTCTCTCTCCTGTATGTGTCCTTTGATGTTCTCTGCGGTGTGACTTCTGGGTGAAGGCTTTCCCACAAAAAAAACATTCAAAGGGTCTAATACCAGTGTGTATTCTCTGGTGCTTAATGAGGGTTGACTTATGTGAAAAGGCTTTTCCACAGTCAGTACATCCATATGGCTTCTCCCCAGTGTGACTTCTTTGATGCCTAATGAATTCAGACTTGTAGCAGAAGGCTTTTCCACATTCAGTACAGACGTGGGGTTTCTCCGTAGGTGGAACCCTCTTACGTTTGTACACAAGAGAATTGGTTGCTGGGGGTTTATACGTAAGCGCTGGGCTATGGCTGAAAGCTTTTTCACAGTGACTGCATTCCCAGAATTTTTCTTCATTTGGTCTTCTATCCTGCTTTGTATGTTGTAACAGTTTTCCATATCCATAGCACTCATCTTGCTTTTTTGCGTAGTTTTTCTTAAAACCATTTAAGTCTAAATTATTGTTCACACTCTTTCCACAAGAGTCCCAGTTACTGGAGTTTTGAATTGAAGGAAAAAGGTCAGTGCTCAGATGTGATATTTTCCCACACTTATTACATGCATGGCTTCTTTCCTTGGGGAATGTTTTCCTGCTGATGAATGGACCTTGCCTCAAAAGTGTGCCTTGCCGCCTTTTCCTGTGGACATTAACTTGCCAAATGTTTTCTGGAGAAAGTATAGGAAAATTTTCCTTATTAATCTATGATTATGATCTGGAATAAAACTATTTGGGAAATGCCCTAAAAATTTTAAGGGTGCACAGTATATGAATAGAGGGCATGGATCATAACTAAAGGCACCAAGGCAGGGAAATGTCATATGAGAACAGAAAATTCAGAAACTGGCATGAATGGAATGGACCATGTCATGGAAGATAGGTATAATTTTAAAGAAGAGAGGATATTATAGTAGTAGTTGGCAAACATCTTCTTAAAGAATCAGAGAGTAAATATTCTAGGCTTTGTAGGCCATATGGTCTTGGTCACAATTACTTAACTTTTCCACTGTATGGCGAGAACACAGTATGTAAATATAAGGGTACACCTGTGTTCCAATAAAAACTTTATTCACAAATTTGGTGGCTAACCTATAGGCTGAAGTTTGCTGATCCCTGTTACAGAAGAAAGAGGTTTAAATGTCATATAGCACTTTGTTACCAGTGCATGGTTCTCAATGGTCAGCATCAGTCTCACCTTGGAACTGATATTGTGACAGATATGAGGAATCTTGGGCCCCACCCCTATACCTACAGAATCAGATTCTGCATTTTAACAAACTGCCAATGCTTATCATATTATGATTTGACAAGCATTGATACAGCAGTCAGAAAGCTTATCATGTTGAGCTAGTTAGACATAATATAAATGGCCAGGGCTCTAAGATGAACTAGATAAAAGAAGGAATTAACCAAACTAACTAGAGTTTAAAGCAGGAGTTCTTAACTTGGTATACAGAAATCTGGGGAGCTGTGAATTTGGATAGGGAAAAAAAATTACAGCTTTATTTTCACTAAGTTCTAAATAAAATTGAGCATTTCTTTTGATTATTAATGTGAACACCAAAACACACTAGTATTAGCTCCTGTAACTTTGTGAATAAGGTATTTTCATGTCACATTATAGCTGTCAAAGATTTCTCAAAATGTGTTTACAATCATGTCTATTTTGAGGTCATGACAATTACTTGACCTGATGTTATATCTCACTATTTAATGTATTAATAAGGAAATATATCTACTACTATCCACTAATATCATTAATATTTTGACATTGCATTTTCCAACTTTATTTCAGTTAATTACTGTATTTTAGTAATTTGTTTTTCATGTAATCCTAAGGATTTTTTTTACATACATAAAAAAAGGAATCTATTAGGCTTCACCAGAATGCTTAAGAGCTCTATGGCGCAAAAATGATTAAGAATTCCTGACTTAAAGATGTTCAGGCATGAGATAATTTGGGCTCAATTTTAGGAGAAGTCAGTGGAAAATGAAAAGTAGACAGGAAGATTTAAAGTCATTTTTCAAAGGAAAAACAACAGAACTAGCACATATGCATAGAACAATTAGAAGACTCAAAATGAGTTCATGGTAGACAAACACTGGAATGAGAAGTAAGCTGAGGTAGGTATATGCATGCACCTGTGTGCATGTGTGGTGGAGGGGAGGTAGCAAGTAGAAAAGAGGATGACTTCAGTTTTTGTCCCCCAAAAACAGGGATGAGTGGATACAACTATGGAGATGATCTACAGACTGGTAAAATGGTGGGCAGGGGAGCCTAGGTGGTACAAGGGGGATAAAAGTTGGTAAAATGGCAAAGAGGCTAGTTGTGAGCATCTTATCATTTCAGAATGGATGAACTCTTTAAGGGAGTTACAACACTGAGAAGAGAATCAAGTCCAGAAGACAGAAAATACAGCAGTCCTTTGGAAGGAAAAGGCTGGGTTGCAACCAGGGTATTAGTATGAGAGGATATAGAACACTTAGAAAGGAGGGCTGACTGGATAACTTTTTTACAATTATATAAAATTCTTGAAAGATGGGAAAGAAAAAGTTGATAGCCAGGTTACAATGGTTTCAGGAAGGTTGATGAGCAATTTCATGAAGCAAAATACACCTCAGAGGGCACCAGAGTGTGATGGTTAAGAATACTGGTTCTAAGGACTTCCCCAGCAGTCCAGTGGTTAAGACTCCAAGCTTCCACTGAAGTGGGCACAGGTTCAATCCCTGGTCAGGGAACTAAGATCCTACATGCATGTGTCATGGCCCAAAAAAAAGAATACTAGTTCTAGAGCCTGACCACCTGAGTTTAAACCCTCATTTGGTCCCTTACTTTGTTATATGTTCTTAGACAAGTTTCTTAACTTTTCTGTGATGCTTCCTCATTTGTAAACGGGATAATAAAAGCTAGTAATAAACACCTCACAAGTGTTTTAAGGACTTAATGAGTTGATATATGTAAAGGATTGAGAAAAGACCTGGCACAAAGTGAGCACACACTGAGTGTTGGCCAGGAATTCTAATGCTGTTTCGGTCACTACTACAACCAGTGAAAGCTGGATAGTGGTAATCTTAAAGACATTATTTTGGGGAGAAGCATGAAAATGACTTGAATGTTTGAAGGTTTTATCTAATATTTAATTCAACTATGTGATTACAACACCAAGTATAAATGGCATAAAGTGATCTGGAAACAGATGGCACTGACTCTTCATGCTAAACTCATGACTTCATTGAAGAAGCAGAAGTCCAGAGGCATCCTAAAGAGTAGGCTACCAACACTCAGAGTACCAGGGATTATTGTTGAGATAGTTTATAGAGCTGATGGGAGAGGGGCAGTTATTCTGAATATTAAATAGAAGGGGTTAAGACAAGCTAACCTCAGCCTTCTTCATTATCCAACTGTTCCTGGTCACTTCCTGGGATTCACTGCTTCCTCCTCTGTGACTTAAGGAAATTAAGGGACTCAGGGATAACTTAAGGGATTCAAAAAGGATGGGAAGTGAGACTGTGAGTATGGCAGGAAGGTCTGGAGCCTTTTACCACAATACTGTTAGAGTAGAGGTTAGAAAGGGACCAGCAAGAACAGAAGATTCACAGAAGCTTCTTTACAAGAATCCCTGAATGTGAAAGAGAAATGTACTGATAACCTCAAAAGAGAGAGAGAGATCAAGGATTCTGGAGAAAGGGAGATGGAGCAAGCACATGGAGTGGGATGCATAGAGACTGAGGGGTCACCAAGAAGGCTAAAGCTCTCAGAGAAATGTCTCCAGCTGCTTTAAAGCTCTAAGGCTTTGAAGCGCTGGACCCTGAACAAAATTCTAAAGCTGCCAGCCTCCCATAGTACATCTTTTGCTGGATTGATCATACTTACCCCGGCAGTGGCAGCCTGAGCATGCTGCCTCACAAATCCAGGGTGCTTCTTCCTGCTCCAGCCGCAGGATCACGTATGGTTTGGTGCCTTCATAACCTGTTCCAGAGAAATGATCCAGGCCTTGGGCTAAGCTCCGTGATCGTCACTCAGGCAACATTAAAGGCTGCACAACAGACATTGTACTTGGGAGGAGACTATACACACACCTTGTCCAGAACTCAAAAGGAACTAGTCATCCAGGACCATTGAAACTCAAGCCACACTTGCTGAGGCAACACAGTATAAGGGTTAGGAATGCACACTGTGCAGCCAGACTGCTGGCATTCAAATCCCACTTTGGCTCTGCTATGTACTAGGTGGGTGACACTGGGCAAGTGACTTCACCTGTCTGCCTCAGTTCCCAAAATGGTAAAAGAGTGGTACTAACAGTACCTACCTTGTAAAGCACTTATGCAGATTACACAAGTTAATATTTTTCAAGTGGCCAGGGACTTCCCTTGTGGCTCATGGGTTTGATCCCTGGTCAGAGAACTAAAATCTCATATGCTGTGGAGAAACTAAGTCTGCACATTGCAACTACTGAAGGTCATGCACTCTGGAGCCGTGCACCCCAACTACTGAGTCCCTGCAGCACAACTAGAGAGTCCCACATGACACGATGATCTCATGTGACACAACTGAGACCTGACCCAGCCAAATAAACAAATATTAAAAGGAATAATAAACAAAGTGGCTAAAAGTGTCTGGCACATAGAAAATATTCGGTACTTCAGTTACTTTTTAAAAAATATTAAATAATTTAATTTATTTATTTGAGTGCACCAAGTCTTAGTTGCTGCATGTAGGATCTAGTTCCCTGACCAGGGAATGAACCTGGGCCCTCTGTTTCGGGAGCTCGGAGTCTCAGCCACTGGACCACCAGGGAAGTCCTGGTACTTCAGTTATTTTAGCAACCGAAAGAAGAAAGGTGGTCATTCAAGCATGATATAGATTGTGTGGCAGAACTGTTCTTACCCACTGAGACAAGGTTGCTGTAGGTCTCCAGCATCACATCCCGGTACAGGGCCCTCTGTGCAGGATTAAGCCCATGCCACTCCTCTTGCGTGAAGCCCACTACCACGTCCTTGAATGACACAGGTCTCTGCTGAAGATGAAATGACACTGGGTCACATGGGGAAAATGCAGGCAGGAGTGGATGGTCCTGATTTTCTATAATGTTCATAGGTTAGAGCTTATTTTTTAATTACTTACTTAATTTTTTGGCTGTGCTGGGTCTTCCTTGCAGCACGTGGGCTTTCTCTAGTTGCAGCAAGCAGGAGTTGCTTTTTGATGCAGTGCTTGCGCTTTTCACTGTAGGGGCTTCTCTTGTTGTGGAGTATGGGCTCTAGGCAAGCAGACTACAGTAGT